GAAGCATCTGCCAGAAAAACCAGTGCCGTTAGCGACAAAAATCTGCTGGGAGCTATGCAAAAAACGTATCTTCGAACGGGCAGCCCGTGCGTTGGTCAATTATTACTATGAGGCAGAAGAAAAGAGTAGGGAAAGCAAAGCACAAATTCTGCTAATTTTTTTTTTGCCTCAGTAAAATTGAAGATATATAAAATTGTGCGCTTCAGTACGGGGAGAGCTGTTGCTTCTGCGTCGCTTTCGCTCCTGCCACCAAGTCTGATAGCCAGCAATATTCCCCACTCACGCTGAATTCATAATAATTCCACAGAGGCTTTTAAGCGAAACTTTTTTACTTTTTGAAAGGAAATACAGGTAGCAGTATATCGGTGGGAGTGCTTACGATTGTTTAGACGATTGATTGCAACTTGAAGCCAAGTTCTTCGAGATCCTTTGCGTGCTCCATCTTCCTCAATTCATCCACCCTATTTTTGAGCTCCTCTCTTGCTGATTCAATTCTTTCTTCTGTCCCTTTTATGTCATCTTCGATCATTTTTACTGCTTTATCCTTGCTGATATTGATGAAGGTGGTCGATCCGAAACAAATCCAATTTTTGCTTTTCTGCAAAACAAGGATTTACTCTTGAAAACCGACACATATTTGGTTTAATTTAAAAATTTTGGGGTTTTCCGGTAAAACTCCACAATTTTTAAATAAAAAAAAAAGAGAAGAAATGTTTTTGTTCATATCTCAAGCAATAATACTATAAATTATTGTATGATATCAACCAGCTCATTTTTACATCTATTTGTAAACTGCATATTCTCGAACATCCTTTTTAAATAGTCTTTTAAGTAGTCTTGGGATGTTAGTTTCTGCCCCTTTCCAGTGAAAATAGTTATAGCTTCTATATTTAGTTTTGCTTCAATATCACCAAAGAATATCAGTGAAACTGGGCAGCTCCTTTGTGGAATTAGTAATTCCTGTACGTATAATTCATGCCTAAAAGAAGTTTTATAGCGGTACAGCCATGTGCAGCTAGCTGGCTCATGACAGGTTAAACGACAGGCTTCAATGCTGCATGTAGGTATGTCGATGAACCGAAGGAACTTTGTACAGAAATTCGGGTTATATTAGAACGGATCACGCAACCAAGAGCAGATCACAGGAATCGCTTGAACTGGCGTAAATAATGATGCGAGGTTTCATCTAGCGGAAAAATG